ATATAGCTGCCACCAAATGCAAATAAACGGCTAACTGTAGGATGGGAATTATTGAAGCTGAATTCAGCTGTTAAATTCCATAGCTTTAAATTATTCACTAAATCCCCTTATTCATTATAAAGTTATTTAATATTATTCCATGTTTAGAAAATAAGAAGAAATTTCTGAATGCCTCACTAGACAAATCACATCCTGTATGTATATCGTGAAATCTTAGTAAAGTATTTTGAAAAACATAACATCGAATTAGTGGACAGTACAATTCTTTAAACTGCTGTTACGTAAGAAACTGTAATTGTGGGGTAAAATACCACTTCAAACTTTATTTGATCTACTACAGTGCTAAACAGATATAGTGTAAGCCTCCATTTTCTTAAGAATTTAATCTTTTCCACTTATATTTTTCTCCCCATCTTTTTTAAAATTAAAGTAAATGATCGTAGGTATATACAAGATAAGACCATTTTTATATAGAATGTATTTAAGCTTTACAAAGCATCACTTAACGATACTTTACTCCACAGTTACTAAAAGTCAATAAAATTCCCCTTTAATTCATTCAGTTTGTTAATTTATAGTTGCTAAATCCTCAAATATTATTTCTAAATAGATATTTTCTAACCCATAGTTGGGTAACGAATGTTGGATTATTTCTCAGTATTAGTTAATTTAAATGCCAGACACATTTCTAACTAAATGACTGTATAGAGTGCTTAGAGGTAATTTCACTACTGTATACACTTCTCTATTTTATATTTCTTAAAAAGTGAGTCATAGTTGAGACTTCGGTTTTACGCCTTGCATAATATTCAGAAGTTGACTTTAAAGGAAGTCCTCTAACAATAGTCTTAAAGACTGTCTGAGTAAAGAAACCCTAAAAATCCACAAAAACTAACTGTTATAAATTGTTAAAACTTCAAAGCTGACGATTCTACCTCATGATACATCTTACGCTTCCTTAGTTAATTTGAGCAACGAATATTTAATTAAAACTACCTTCGAGTACTTAATTACTTTATAGAGTTATATATCTCAAACCCTTGATGCTAGTTAAACTGAGAGCAGGGGTATTTAATCTGCACAGGGACTGTTTGTCGTTTAAAAACACTATGGTTTCAGTGAGCCCATGGAGGTAGAGTAAAATCACGTAGACCTAACCAAGAAGACAAAGAACACAAGAAGCGACGAAACGTCTGAAACTTTTGGTTTGGTAAGTGCATATTTTCACTCTATCGAAAAACTACTCAGCCATTCACTTTAATCATTCAACCTGGATTATATGCTGAATGAGCTGCTGAAGGTTGCTCAAATCTCAAACTATATCTCGACCTTTGACGAACAGTGTTCAATGAAGAGTACCAAACTCTCTATTCACGGAATTTAAATTTGACCAACATATTGCATCTGGTATTTCAGACAGATAGGCAAATTCTATAAATGTAACTTGTAGAAGTAGGTTAGAAAATATTCTAAGACTGTTAGGGAACTGGTTGAGCATTAGCATTACCATTACAAACACAAAAGTGATAAGTATATTTCTTTACAAAGTCACATGATTTCCCTCGTCAGATGTAAGAGGTGGAAGACCGCCGTTGAAAGTTTGTTGAATATTATAGGATGCTGTACAGGATAAAATATTATGACGCCGAAGAGCTCATTCGATCCTTTGAAGTTCTGTTTAACTTCAGTATGTATAGTTATAGTTGCGTAGATATAGTTTAACTGTGAAATTTTCATTGTCTTACTAGACTTCATTGTCAGTATCAGCTCTAAACATTGTAAGCTTTTCAAATTCCCTATGAATGAAAGAGCCAGCTAATGTAAGGGACTTGGTTAAAATTAGTTACCTTGTAGATCTTATTATTATTGTTCACTTGCATCCACTTTATTTGACCTGATATTTATTATTGTCTTTTTCATTATCCAATAAATATGATCTATGTCAGCATATCCACTGATGATAGATTCACGTGACTGCCGGGCTTCTAGGAATCCCCTAGCATTCTAGTCTTTCTTTTGTCTGGAATTTCCTTTCATTTTTTCCCATACCGATTAATTTCCGTAGTTATCTACTTGCAAAGATATGAACGAATGAATTTCATGTCGTGATATCAGAACTGCCAAGTCCAGTCGTTTATTTCACTTTCAGGAACTCTTAATGTATGAGTTATTTAAAGAACACAACAGAAAACTAAAATTTTTGAACCGGTCCTCTGATTATCCTGTGAAATCAGGGTTTCTAGAAAAAAATTTAAAGCAAACGACAGTGAAAGTACTATGTTGCTTGATTTCACGGCTTTTCACACTTCGAAATGGATTTTTGATATAAGACATAAATCTACAAACTCCATCCTACTTGGTTATCGCACTTCTGTGTTTTAGGACAGTTCTTAACACTGATAACTAAACGGTACATCGTTTCCTTTGCTAGATTTTGTTTACCTACACACTGTGAAGTTTAATGACATTCTGTTAGATTTCTGTGGATTCAACTTTTTTTTGGTTGAAGGATTTCATCATGAGCTGACATCAGTTTTAGAACCCACCGAGGCGAGGGTCCTGGGTTCGAGCCCCGGTGGGTTCAAACCATCACTCTTAATAAATTTTCAGTCATAAGACGTTGTGAGCATCAAGTGTATTTCGATTTTTATTACTTTATGAGAGATCTGAAAGCCTTAGCAAATTTAGCAACATTGGTCCTTTCCATTACTTTAGTGTGACGATTCATTCCGTTCATGTGAAATTCTCTCTCTTATTCAATCTAATCACAAGAAAATCTCATATTTAGGTATTAATAACTAACCTGCAATTAATCTCCTGAAGAGGACTACCAAGAATAGGACAAAGTGGGGATGTACTGTTGAAGCTCTCAAGTGGAAGCCGATAGGGAAGCAACAAGGGAGGCCTTCAAAGAGCAAGAGGAGATGAAAGCTTATGAAAAATCGTAGGGTCAGCTGACTGGGGCGAAGAGGATAAAGTGGAGAGGTGCTGTTGAAGCCCTATGTTCCACTCGGAACCCAAGAGAATAATAATTAGTCTGAGAAGACGTAGCTGATATGACAAACCACTTTGGTTATGGCGACAATTAATCAACAGTCACATTTCATTAGATTTGAGGTACGCGTCAAATTCAGAAATGTTTGAATCCCTAGACAGTTACTGGATGGTTTGAATTCAGATCTGGGTAATGGTTTAAGGTTCCTAAACCTAAAGTGAATATATTTGTGCGTTGAAGTTTCTGTAGCAATTTGGTTAAGTTTTGCGGGTGGAGTTGCTAGCACCACGCCCCAACCCTACGTCTTTATCCGGGCTTGGGACCGGCTGGAAAACTAGCGAGCTAGTAATCTAGGCGAGGTCACTCAACATCAACAACAAAATTCGGATTTTCAATACAAACGTCAAGTCAGTTTTGCTATACGGATCAGAAACTTGGCGGGTCACAAAGAATATTTCCAACAGCCTGTTGCAGACCTTTATCAACAACTGTCTTCGTTCTATACTGAAAAAATCAGATGGCTGGAAAGAATCACCAACAAGAAACTATGGGAACAAACAAAGCAAGAACCATTCGCCCAACAAATGTTCAGGAGAAAGTGGAGATGGATTGGACACTCGCTGAGGAGGCCGCTGGGTGACATCGCGCGTCAGGCCAACGCTCGAGTGGAACCCGAAAGGAAAGCGGCGAGTGGGACGTCCAAGGGTGACATGGAGGAGATCGTGTGAAGAGGAATTGAAACAGTATGGATTAACATGGATGCAAGTGAAAAGTACAGCAGAAGATAGAAGCAAGTGGAGACGTGCAGTTGAAGCCCTATGTTCCACTAGGAACCCAAGGGAACAATAATAATAATAAACCTAAAGTGAAGAACTATGCAGTGCCACTAGACTTCCAGTAGTTTCTCGACAGTACACTTGCAAATTCGCGGTTCAAATGACAGAGGATTTCACATAATTTTTCTATCAAGAATCAAGACTTTGACATCATCTTTTAGTTCATATGATTATAAATGCTTGTATATTGGAATTAGTTCGTCGAAAATATCATTGTTCTAACAGCGACTGTCCTTTTGTCTTGGTAAAATCGTTTATAAATATTTCACTGTTTAAAGATTCACAGTGGACATTATTTATTGAAATTAGGCAGTAATAAACCTTAGGACTGGATGCTTTAACAATTTTCGACGAATGTAGCTCTTCTTTTTCGACTTAGTCACGAACAGAAATAGGCAAATTTGAAATATTACGATGAAGTTTCATTTCCATGATACTCGTAAAATCATCTTTAGATATTCACATATATAGTTTGGAATCACAATGACTTCTATTTGCCTAAAGCGAATGACTCACAATTCTTCGGAGTCTTTTTATAAACCGTTAACTGACGAGTATCATCTGTCCTAATCGATAGTGTTATAAGGTGTACTAATGAATGAAATTGAACACTGCATATGGAGGCCAATGTCGTTAATTAACCTGACCTTAAATCTCATTGTTTATGAAAAAATTCTCAACTCCAGCTTCCTAATTTTGAATTTCATTTGCATTCCAAGTGGAATATGGCACTTTAAGCTTGAGCTTTAAAATTTCAGTACGGGTGGTAATTTTCACAGGATGATGTTCCTAGCCTCGCCCCCAGCTTTCACTCTTTATCACGCTTACAACCGGCTATGCGAGGTTTAGGAGTGCATCGACAGGGGATCAGACATGAACCACGTGTGATGTGGTTGGCGAGCATTCTACTACTGAACTGCTGACGCACTCAGCCTCCTTCATACAGATTAATTATTTGTATATATATATATATATATATATATATATATCAAATTTGCTGTAATAATACAAATATTACAAAACGCCAATACTGTGATGAAAACACTATTGATTATTTTCCCTTCTAAGTGTCAATATTTTTTGGTAATATTTGTCTTGATTAAAAATCTTATATTATTTTATGCATGGTTTAATCTCTATGAATGTTTCTTTTTTGAAACATAATCTAGGTTATGGACATATTGTGCCTAGAACAGATGTTGGACGTGCAATGACTGTAATCTACGCTCTATTCGGTATACCATTAGTTCTGTTGTGTTTAGCTAATCTCGGTGGTTTTCTAGCTCATACAGTACGTATTGTCTATTCGAATTCATGTCTTCGATATCATGAATATATTACTAAGAAAAGATCTTCCATACCAGATGCTCCATTAATAAAATATCTACGAAATAAGAAGTTATTTGATCCGGCTAAAAATAAATTACTCGGTCACATATTTCACAAACATGATTCAAACGATACATCACATGAAAAATCTGATAACTCGGAAACACCATCACAACCATTAACAACAACAACAACACCAGCAACAACAACAACAACGACGACGACAACAACAACAACTGGAGATTATTCCTTTCACAGCAAATACATCTCAAAACAATCTTTTAATAAATTTCACAGTATTGATTATCATGCACTGCGCTTTGAAAGACGAGCTCATTCACTTCTACACACTTTAGCAGGTTCACAGTCGATAATTTCATCACATATACAAAAAGAAAAAGAGGAAAGTGAAGAATTACCAGTGCCAATATGGTTTACATTATTAGTGTTTTTCGTATATATGTTAGTCGGTGCAATTATTTTCTCTCAATGGGAAAGTTGGAGTGTATTACAGTCAGCTTATTTTGTTTTCATCACATTATCAACAATTGGTTTCGGTGACTTTGTTCCAGGCATACAAAATGATACATGGCATGAAAATTCAACAAAACCAGTATTTTGTTGTTTTTATTTATTATTTGGTCTCTCCATGGTTGTTATGTCATTCAATCTAATGCAAGAGGAGGTAAAGGCTAGATTCAGACAATTTGCTTATAAAGTTGGATTAATAGAAGAACAAGAATGATCTATTAACACTTGTATTTCTTTTCTACAGATGGCTTTTTCATTTAAAAAAAATATCTCCTCTTGTTGTACGCTAGTTGTTGTCTGCTCATGTAATAATGTTTATATACTTTTGTGTCTTTGCATTGTATTCAGGTAACTTAGTCTTGTGATATGTTGTCTTGTCATCATTATATTTTCTCTTCTCTCTTCTACACTTTATTCCACTGATACGTGCTGAACCTATTGGCCTTCTAAGAGAAATTATATTTCAAAACCACAGCTGCATTTTAATTGTGATTATAAATAGTAAGAGAAAAGGCTGAGGAGAGAGACTGATGAATTGAAGGCTAATTATTATGGCGCTATACCTAATCGATGTTCAATTTATTGTGCAGACGCCAACGATAGCACTATGACACTACCGTCTTTACTCTTAAATACTGAAATATTGTATTGCTATTAGTGTTTATAAATGTGTCTCATAATATATTTTTATTGATACAGTTGTGTCTTGACTCTCGAATGATAAATGAAAAAAAAAGTGTTTAAGCGTAAAAGACCTTCCAGTGGGTGCGTACTGCCGATGATTCCCAAACTAGGATGAAACAGCAGTTGTCCAGTACTCCCTGGTTTTCAATGGTTCTCTAACTGATATCAATCCATGATCAACTCGTAAAAACATAACAAACCCTTACAAACCAAACTATAGAAAATTAATCTGATGCTCGCTAGTGACTTGCTTCAGGATGGAGTTTCCTGGAGTTCTAGTGAGAAGTCGTGACCAGTGAGGTCCAATTAGATGTCACGTGTGTGGATGGATGTCCCACCAACGACAATGGTTGGTGTCGCGCAAAATCACGAATCGGTAGAAGTTAGAATTCATGAGCCATTGAATGGGGTCCCAGTGGCTGAATGGTATACGAGCTTGCCTGGTAACCGGAAGGCCCTGAGTTTGAATCCCAGTGGGTGCGTACTGCCGATGATTCCCAAACTAGGATGAAACAGCAGCTGTCCAGTACTCCCTGGTTTTCAATGGTTCTCTAACTGATATCAATCCATGATCAACTCGTAAAAAAGAATTTTAGCCCTTTGTTTATTTTAAGATGAAAAGGAAACGAGATATCCGTAAAAGATTTTCCCTAATAGTTTTTTAGAATAATCTGAAACAGGTAAAATTATGCTTTTCCTAACTCACACATCAACAATCCATCATATATAATTAATACAAAATGACCATAAGCATTGCGTGAATTAGACAGAGTGTAAATTCAGGGTATATGTCGTATCTCTTGAAAATAATTTATCGCATTAGCAGAATTCTATTAGTCTCCTGTATTCAGCTTACACAGGCTTTATGTTTTACTGAAAAGTTTTGATGGAGATAAAACATTTCAGAATGAGGTAATTTATCATGCATTATACAAGTTAATAAGTGCGAGATGCATCTAAGGAAGATTAAAAAAGGCAAAATGTTATTCACTTTTCCTCCTCAAACGTAAATTTCATTTTTATTTGAAATTTGTTAGGTATATTTATATATAATAATATTCCATGAAATAATGTTTTTATATCATGACCTGAATATAAAATGCAGTGGCTTCTATACCATATGATTATCCGAAATGCTATTAGGTTACAAGTACCACATACTGTGTAGTGTAACCAGCGTCCAGTGGTGTTCTAAGCATCCGAAGGTGAGTGTACAGGCTAATAGACATTTCTCAACAAAGCAGATATTTTCAAACAGAAAGGAAATGTGCTTTTTAAAGGCTTGAAAGCTCCAATAAAGGTTAAGGACAATGTATGCTTGAAATGACAAAAAAATATTATGAAGTTACGGTTAGCTAATAAATATTAAGAAAATGTCTTCATTGGAATGCAGTTCTAATCACAGTTGGATAACTAGAAGAGAATATATCTGACAGACAGAAAACACTCATTATCTACTTAATTATGACTTAAGAGTTTGATTCGCCCACAATCTTTAGGAGGAATAAATTGAGGACTATTAGATTCCAATTAAAGCAAGCTAGCATCTAAGCAATAGTTTGAGTAATTTACGTGCTTTCAAACATTTGAAGGCGACTGTACAATAAATATAACAAAAAGTAAGAAGAACATTGGTTACGGAATACACATTCTAGCAGAATTAATTAGTAACATTTCTTTTCAATAAAAAGTTACCTACAGAAGAAGAAATTTATGATAGTTATAAATCTAAACAATGATGATAAGGATTGCGAAGATAAGGAGGAAATATTCATCTTAACAAAAGTTAATTCTTTAACTGTTAGGGACTTGCGTGAGAACCTATTCATATGCATAAAAAGAAACTAGTGATTACCTCTTATTCGCATAATAATTATAAGATAAAGTTAGATAATCAAATCAAGAACTGACAGTGAGTTTGTCTAACCCGTTCAGAAAGCTACTGATAAGTTATCTACATTTCATTATTTCCACTTTCTCTTAAAACCTCAACTGTCAACATTGTGATGTCCATCGTTGTAGGAAATGCCTCAGATATTATAATCAGTTCTAACACGAAGAGATACTCTTATTGATGCCAAACTTATTGTCATCTCGCTTAGCAAGCTGAAAGCATTCATCCAAATGCTATCTGATTCGATCAGAATATGTGTGACAGGAAGCTTTTTATGACCTAATTTGATTTCTTTGTTTCTAGGAAATCCTGACAGTTATGTTCAAAATGTATTTTTATTAGATGGTTGGAAATAATCTGCAGGAAGCCTTGGACCTAGGCCCCGTGCTTATTAGCACTTGTTGGCAAGGCATATCTGCAATCTTGCGGCAACTCAAATCCCTTCTGAGATTCGAATTTGGATCACCACTGCTGAAGTCAGAGACGTTACCACTGAGTTATTCGGACTGTCTATCAGCCCCTTGTTCGACTGTATTGGATACTGGCTGGACACTAGGTAGTAACTCTATATGTCCAAATTATGTACACCTTATCTTCAATGCACCATTTGCACAGATCTTCATGTTGTGGTACTTCTGGACTTCATATTGTGTTTATTTGACGTCTCTCATATATCTCCACAACGCTGTATCGTTTGCCTTCTCTGAAATCAAATGTATCTCCCTGGTATTTGATGTTTTATGCCGATGAACCTCTCTCTACATACTACTGATAAATCTTATCAGGAGCACTTGCCACACTAGTCCCCCCATCAAATGGTTTCGAATGGAGCCGTTCCGACCTTCTTGGTTCTATCCCTTCCTGTTGTACTTTGGTCCGGGCTTCCTCATCCCACTGAATCCATTTCTGCATTTGGCTAATGTTAACCCGTTTCTGTTTATTGCATCTTTTGATGGTATAAACGGGACCACGTCTCTCGATGACACTATGCGTGAACCTGGCCCACATTTAACCGCATCTTTTCTTTCTCTATACTTTAACTGAGTGCCGACCTCAAAGGTTCGGTATCGCATCTTCTCTCCCTCTTCTCATTTCACTGTGTCTTTGTTCTGTTTGAGCCTCATATTCCTGACGGCATCTTTTCGTTCCGTTCGCAGCCTCGTCATATTCCACTCCTGATGGAGGGGTCAGGTTGTGTTGTGTATTGGAAGTCGTGGTTTCCTCCCATACATCAACTGGAATGGTGACTTCTTTGTTGTTTTCTGGGTGGACGCACGATGTGCTAGTAGAATCAATGGGAGATCTGTCTCCCAGTTACCTCTCTTCGAGGCCAGCCACTCCTTCAGTGTACGGTTATTTCTCTCTGTTAGACCATTCGCTTGGGAATGATATGGTGTTGTTCTGATTTTCTTGATACCCAACTGTTGCAAACGGGAAGTGAATTCTTCGCTTTCAAAACAAGGGCCCTGATCTGTCAGTATCGTCTTTGGTACACCATTGTCTGCAAAAATATGTCGAACTGCTGGGTCAGTCACGGTTCTCGTGCGCTGATCAGGGATCACGACGGCGTCCACCCATCATGTAGCGTTTTCCACCATCACCAAGACGTACCAATTGCCACTGGATGTCTGCGGAAACGCACCTATCACATCTACGAACCACAAGTCACCTACTGCCGTAACTGGAACTGACTGCAGAGGCGGTCGTATGCACCGATCTCCTTTCATCAACTGGCACTGCGAACATCCAAATATATATTTTGTCACATCTTCTCTCATACCTGGCCAGTATATGCCTTTTCTCGAGATGTCGGTTGTTCTGACCACTCCTGTATGCACTAGCTGGTGACATTTATCTATCATCTTATGGCGTAGAGACTGAGGTATTACTACCAACCAACTTCTATCGCCCTCTCGACAAGTCAGAGTTCTGTAGGTGTTCACTCGTAATCGATCTTTCTGTCTGAGTAGGGAATAATCTTTACATAAAAGATATTTTCCCGTTATTTTTCAGTTGCAGTTAACACAAATTACACTAGATATCTTCCCAACTCATTTGCACTTTTGTAAGGTTTTATGTTAGTTTCATTGTGACAAACACTAATGGAAGTGTGCTGTGGCTTCAGCATTCTTATGTAGTAAGAAACACGGGAAATCGATGTTGGAAGTCATTCTTAGTCCAACCAAGATGACAAAAATTTAACAAAAGACCAGGTCATTCTATGAGATGTGAAGGCATCCAGGTGAGAAATACTGAAGTAAACACACGTTTTCAGTAACTCCACACCTTACGTATACACACAGTTGTCTGTTTAAACCACTGGGCTACCTAAATTTTCCATCCACCTTTCTGCGTTTACTTTTCTGTGTTTCTTATTGTTTTAATATCCCAATTATGTCATTGAATCGCAACATGAACTCACCCAAATTTTGAAGTGGCCTCCAACCTACCGCTCTGTACATCAAGAAGAAAATGAAGGTAAAATGTCGCAGTGTTGAGTTATATTTTAAACAGAATGATGCTGCGTCATATGATATACTGCTAGTGATTATCCGCTCGAAGATTCTATACGGGATATAAGTATTCTGCAACAAATTAGGCTGAGAATTCTGCATGTTGTGTACACATGATTTCCAGAATAATGAAAATGTTATTACTATACGAACAGCGAATAAACGCACTGATAACCATTTACATTCACACGTACACTTACCAGTTGTCTGGATAAGCGCAATATTATTCTAACCAAGCAGCTGAGATTCAAATGTCACAAGTTATAAACCGGAGCTTCATATTTGCCGTATGGTAGATAACTGATAGCGTAGAAAATAATCATTGTTAAAAACGAAAACTTACCTGTATAAATTTTAAAGACAGAGTTATATTTGCACTACATAAGCTCCAGTTAAAAAAAATACGTGAAAATATTCAATATCATTTCACACTGATAATTTATGGAAAGTATGTGAATAAAGTATATAATAATGAAATGGAGTGGTTTTATGCTAAGATTTAGAACACTGAATGATTCATGACACCATCAAAGTATGCACTTGTCTACAATCAGTGACTCTAAATAAGAATATCACTCCTCCAAATCAAAACGAACTCATGTGATC